TCTTGCGCTCTGGGCAGTACTAGCGAAGCTATGCCGCCCAAATCCTCAGAAGACACAAAACTCAAAGAGAAGCACTGCAGGAACCAGCTCGCGGCTCTTTTCGCAGAAGTTCGCCAGAAGGTGGGTTCGGAAGGCTTACTGCGATGTATCAAGCGCGACACGGTACACCACCTGTGAGAGGCCCACTAGCCTCTGCGCGGCTCCAATTTGAGGATGTCACGCTGTCTTGCCCTTACGCTGGTTCGTGACTGGTGCGGGTGGCGGGCCTGACTGGGCAGCGGCGCTTCCCCTTAAGCAACGCTTGCTTGGGTCTGTGAGCACGCGGGTCGCTTGAACTCCAAGTGGAGGTGGCCATGACGTTCGCCTCAGGCAGTGGCTCTGCGCCTTCCACCTCGCGCAACAGCTTTCGCTAACCCAGGGTGGCAGCTGTCTAGTTCAGGCTACTCACAAGCGCCCCAGGCTGGCTTGTAGCAACTAAGCGGTCCAAATTCTCACGGCTATCCAGTTGCCAGCGCACGGGAGCTTTGCAGTGTCCAAAGCCACAAAGCAAGAGTTCAGAGGCGCGCGAGCCATACCCCGAATCATACCCCCGAGCCATACCCCGAACCATACCTGCGATTCATACCCCTTATACCAACCTCCCGGCACGGCCACGTCAAAAAAAACACACACCCAGGTAGGTCCCCGAGCAATTGGTGCTCTTTGACCCTTTCATTTTTGGGGGAGGGCTTCCCTACTAAAATAGACTACAGAAAGAAAGGGTACCCTCATTCTAGCCTCTCTACTGGAGGACCTCGGAATGTAAACGCCAAAAAGGATTCAGAGGTACTCCAGTTTGGCACGTAAGCGTTGTGACAGCGGCTACACCTTAAATTTGTGGCATGTGTCTTAATTGGTTTAGTCGATTTGACTTTTCTTGACTGCTATCGGGTTGGATCTTTAGACTTTAACTTTACTTTTTGAGAAATCAAGGGACTTTCCACTAAACCCCAAAAAAGTTAAACTTTTTGCAGAGGGGTCAACAGCAACAAAGTTTTCTGGCCACTAAATGTATTTTTGGCCGACCGAGCAGTTCAGCGCATTACCCAAAGAATTGTCGGGCTTTATGCCCTTTCGGATTCCAATCAAAGGTCATACGTTGAATTCAGCAAAATCAACCCCAAAGTGGGTGGGTTGCTTCTTCTTTTTCCTGACCCTCTCCTGACCACTCGGCGCCCTGTTTTGGCTGCCAAACTTTGACCCACACAAAATGTGGTTGGATCTTTAGAGACTGAACAACTTTTTCGGGAAATGACATTGGTTTTTTGTGCACGAGAGTCCCCGGAAATTTTGTGGCTTAAAGGAACACCAACTGGAAAATCACCGTGTTGAGGGTCCAGGCTTAAAAAATGACACATCCAACTTCGAACCACATTGTTGAGGGTCCAACCTTAAGCTTTTTCCAAGTACGGCTTAAACATGTTTTAACTTGTTTGCCACCTCGAGCCATCCACTCTGCCTCTCTTCTGATGGCCCCTTGCCAGGAGCCGCCAGTGAAGGAATTGACATTGGTTTGTTGAACCTCACCTAGGGCCCGCAGTAGTGCCCTTTGACCAACTTTTTTGGCTGGGAGGGTTCCCCTACTAAAAAATAGACGACAGAAAAAAGAAACGGGTGCCCTTATTCCAACCTCTCTACTGGAGGACCTCGTCAATGGTAGGGGGTTTGATGTTAGTTAGATCCCAAGAATTGGATGCTACAATGCTTCATCCCCAAGAATGATCCCATTGCTCCCCAATAATGATAGTTAAAATTAATGGTTATCAATTTGGGGGTGGGAGCCCCTCCAGAAATGGCTCATATTAATACATCGTGGCTTATGAATCCGGGGTCAACAGTACGTTTCTCTGATTTCGCGGCGGATCCGAACCCTTGATACGTCTGGGATGTATCCTCAGAGAGCCCTGATAAATGCGGGCCCTGGTGACTCAAGGGCAAAGGTCACTGAGTCAAAGAAGTCGAAGTGCATCAGCCTTAAAATATGTTTTGATTTGAATTTTGCCTGGCGGCACATGTTCCTTCGCTTGGGGATGGTGGGGCCTTGGTAGGATCCGCCTGCCACTACAATGAGTTCTGACCAGGTATGTGTCCAACATAGGGGTACCCGAAATATGGATCTTTGCTGTCCGCTTGGTTTGCCTTCAAACCATGGTGAACCCTCCATAAAGAGGCACACCCATATATTCATCGCCCACATCAGTCCATTGTGTCGCCTAAGCAGTGGATCCTCGAGAGGGGGGTTTGGCCTGGATCTCCATGGGAAGATGGAACCTTAAGGGGCGGCTTTTGCCGTGCGGGTCAAGGTTGCGCCTCACGAGAACTAAAGCAATGTGTCTTTTCTTAACTGCTATTGGGTTGGATCTTTAGACTAACTTTTTGGGAAATCAAGCGGCTTTCCTCTGAACCCCCAAAAAGTTAAACTTTTTGCAGGGGGCTCAACAGCAGGGTAAACGGGAAACCGGCGCTAACCTCCAAGCCGCCAATTCAAAGCTGAGGATTGCACGGCCCTCTCAACCCAAATTAGAGAAGCCGGAATGGGGTTGGATTCGAGAATTTTAACACAAGTCATCAGGGAGTAACCGGTCCCCAAAGAACTACGTATGTCCAAAATTTCACCTGTCCCCAAACTTTGGGGGGTGCTGGGAGTAATGTATGTAGTTGGTTTGAGCCCTTTGTTTTACCACTAATTATGCCTCTAGCAGCCTTGCCACATACTCTAGAGTTCAGGAAAAGAGCCGTAGACTCGTAAAGGACGGAAGGAGGGTGCACATTGACAGAAAACCCAAGGCTCTGATTCGCCAGGTGGTTTCTCAATCAGATCTGTGTTGGCTCCAGATTCGTTTTCAGGGGGGTATCTGACAACTCGTTCCTGCATACAATCATTCACGTGTATATGTATATGTATATGTACATGTATTTAATATAATATATATATATGGTCAGCCCCCCCCCATGAACTACCTTTCCTTCTTTCTTCATAAAATGACTGCACAAAGCAATATTTGTTCCACATATGTTTTTTCCTTAAATAAACATACATATTTCTATATATGCAACCCCCCCCCCCCATGGACCCTGGTTTTACTGCCTTTTGGGGATGGCAAATCTAGAATTTCCAAATTTATATTCTCGAAATTTCCAATTGTGGGTCCCCAAAGCGTGATAATTTGGAGCCCGGAGTCCTCCACAATGTCCCAGTATGATACCCTTTGCACATAAGATGTTACATCAACTAGAATTGGAATTTTGAATATAGTTTAGTATGGATATAGTTTTCAAACATGTGTTTATGTTCAATTACAGCTTAAACAAGCAAATCCTTTCCAAATAGCAGCTACATGAAAATGTACTGTAAATATATATTTTCGGCTAAACTCCAACTAGTCTATAACACAAGAAGTTAGATGGAAGTTTTTTCCCAAATATAATCCAAGTGGTAAGTATAATCTAAGACGAACACAACTCAATTTGCTTTTGATAATATCAAGTGAATAGAGACTACATCTCAAATATAATTCATATTAAATATGGCTAAACATTTGGAAATTAAAAATAGGATTTGTGTTTTTTGCATTCCGGCCCTTTTGTAGCATAAGAAAGGTCCGACATTGAACTTGTTAGACGGTGTTCCAAAGGGAAATTTCAAGGGAAGAGAGGTTCAAAATCTAAAACTATCTCGAAACAGGGATTCTAGCTAAACCGTTGTATTTAAAGTTCTATTTGCGCAGGAAAGTCAATTCTATGTCAAAAGGTGGAGGTAGTAGATGAGCAAATGTGGACAGGTAGTTGAAGAGGGTGGGGGACGGTGTGTGAACGTACATACATATGTATATCTATATATACACATACATACACACATATATAGTACCCCCAATGATCCTGCGCCTCCTCATAAAATACTGGAAAATGCAGTGTTTTTGAGCGTTGCACCTGCCTTTGTTTACCTCCTGGAAAGGGGTCAACATGAGCATAGCTGACCTGAAGCTCACCAAAAGCACTTGAAAGTTTGTCTAACCAATAACTTGAAAGTGTGTCCACTGGATCGCTAAGCACTTGAAAGTTTGCTACTATCGGATGGAAGATTCAATATTGAAGATTACACAGAACACTTTCCTGAGAATTGTCAATCCTGGCCAAACCCAAATAGCATTCAAGTTCTTCTAACACTTGAAAGTGCTTTACCACTGGATTGGGGATTCAATATTGAGGAGCCCACAAACCACCACTTTCCTGAGAATCATCCATCCTGGTCAACCCCTAAAATGTTCAAGTTGTTCTATCACCTCGAACATCCGTTACCACTGGATTGAACTATTTCACGGAAAACTTTTCCGATAATCTTATTGAACACCGAGAGTATTGGGACAACCCTGAAATGTTTAAAACTTGTTTTTTTTTTTTTTTTTTTTTTTTGTTTTAAGGGATTCAAGATTCAAGATTCCCAGAAAATATTTTCTCAGATTCTTGAATCTTGCATCTTGAATCCATAATTTTTAATAAGTTTTAAAAATTATGGGATTCAAGATTCAAGATTCCCAGAAAATATTTTCTCACATTCTTGAATCTTGAATCTTGAATCCCATAATTTTTAATAATTTTTAAGAATGTCTGAGTTGTTCTTGTATTCTTGGATGCATTCAAACTCTTTCAGATTGCAGGTGCTGATGTCATTGCCTTTATTACATCTGTATGCATGCATGCGTATCATATACATGTACGACCCTCCCCCCAATTTTGACACAAATCCAAGAAGCAAAAAGAAGCATAAAACACTGGAAAATGCAGGTCAACCGCACCAAACCAGGGTCCATGGGGGGGGGTACCATATATATATATATATATATATTTCATATATATATATATGTGCAATGTGTATATATATATATATGTATCACATGACGAAAGGCTGGTACCAGTGGCACCTCCAGGAAGGGACTTGATTCCTGGTCTGAGGCCAGCAGATGCACAGGACCTGGCGAAGCTGGCGCAGGAGCGTGACGCCGGTAACTAGCCCCCGGCGTGAAACTTGGGAAGCCCGGCGTTTGCTTTACTTCCATCTTTTAATCCCATTTTTGGCGGGGCTCCTTAAAAGATCTCCATCTTGCCAATTTGAAACAGGTGGCTTTGTCCACCAAAACTAAAGGGACACCACCATTTACAAGTTGCAATGTTCAGGTGTACCTGAACCCTCAAAATTCCAACTTAAAAATGGGTTTGACCCCCAAAATTATGGTTGGTGATATCCCATTTTTATGGGTAGTTTGAGGGTCCAGGTATAATGCAAGGATCCCTGTTTGGGTTCGATTTCTACGCCAACCACAGCCATGGTTCCCGCCTGGCGGTTTTTGAGTCGTTTTGTGTAGAGAACTGTAGGCCATCCACTGCAGGCGTCCATTTGCTGAAGTGAATATTTGTTATTTGCCCTTGCTGGGTTTGGGAATATTTGCTGAAAACTTGTGGAAAACAGTACTTCCAAGTTTTCTTCACTTCCATCTGCTGAAAACTGATCTCCCCACATATGTTCCTAGCCCAAGTTTTCTTTTCTTTTCTTTACTTCCAGCTATTTGTTATTTTCCCTTGTTGGCTTTAGGAAACTATCGCTACTGGATATATTGGTAGGAGGTACGATTTGGCTTTTGACCCATGGCCATGTGAACACGGTGGACAATTCCTGCCGAATCCCCAGTTGCCGTGTGGGAAGCACTTCCTTTCTTCCTTTGGGAGATTTGGGTTGCTTCCTTGAAGACGTTAAAATTAATTACCCAAAAATATTGGATGCCGATGCCGATGCCGATGCCCTTTTTTCCCAAAGTCCACTGGGCATCTGAGTTTCTCAACGTCGGGCTCCTTCGAGAGCTTCGAGTTGCCCTTCTTTTTGCTTTTGCTGGGGGCTGAAAAAGACATCAACAGGGTGCCATTACGATGCTCTGGATCCGGGGAACGGCATGAGCGGGTGCCGTGTGTTTCGTTGCAAAGCCGCTGTTGGATCCTTTTAGTTGTTCAGGGACCAAAAGGACATCAGGGAATTTGGTTGAAGAGCACCCACAAAATTGTATTCAGGTTTATGCCCTTGCATGTTGAAATAGTTCTATTTGGATTGGCTCTTGCAGCAACACCCGCTGCTTGCTAGTAGTGCGAAGAGGTGATTTGTCGTGCTCTTTCCCTCTGAACAGTAAGTGCTTGGATGGGCCAAGAAGAGAAGAGAAGAGAGCAGAAGAGAAGAAAAGAGAAGAGAAAAGAAGAGGAGAGGAGAGGAGAGGAGAGGAAACCTGTAGAAACCGCAACTCAACTAGCCATCCTGGAATCCTGGAATCACGGGCAGTGGGAACATGGCCAGGTTGGAACTGCCTTTTTTGCCTTTCCCCTTTGGGGTTCCTTTGGTTTTCCCCTTGAGAAAGGCAAAGAAACCCATTACAGCCAAGCGCAACATAATGTTAACCCCGGATTCATAAACCCCTGGTTGATCTTGATCGAGGGGTGTCCAATTCCTTTTAGCGGGGATTCGGACCACTTTTAGAGGGAACACTGCCCGAAGAGTGGGACGGGTTCTACTTAGATCCTGGGTCAACCTTTTTTCTCTTTTCTTCGTGGCCCTTTCTTTGCCCTAAAAGGACCTTCCGATTTTTGGCTCCGCACACGTTTTTGTTCCTCTTCCACCCGCCAGAGCTCCTCGTCGGGAAGTCGGCTCGCTCGTTTTTCGTTTGGCCCCCGGCCCGTTCCTTGGGCCTTCAGAAAGCGAAGCGCTTGGGATGCCTAAAATCGGTGACCGAACCTCAGAAAACCGGAAGCCCATTGGCAAAACGCCGGTTTTTTCACAAGACCCCAGCACCTCATCAAATGCTTTCCAGCCATCTCCGGGGTTTCCCAGCCATCCGCAAGGGATGTGACAGCCCGTTCCCGGGAGCCCTCCCCGCGTATCTTCTGCACAACCTTGCCTGTGCTTCCCAGCCCGCGAGGAGGAGAGCGATCGCGACACTTTGTCGCCGGACGCCCATCGCCGTTGTTTGAGTCGAGGTGCTTGACTTGTTTTTAGAGAAAATGCGACGGAGGTCCCTCTATGGCTAGGTTTCCCTGTAGTGCCCTTGTACCCCTTTTTTGGGGGAGGGTTCCCCTACTAAAGTAGACTACGGAAAAAGGATACCCTTATTCTAGCCTCTCCACTGGAGGACCTAGATGGGTTTGTCTCTCAAGAGGGACGGGGTCCCTCAACATGGGTGGTCTGCCAACACCCCCGCAAAAGGTGCCATCAAAAGAGACCCATACTGTCGATGGACGAAATGCTGCACCTAATGATGGTTCTCTGCAAATACCAGCAAACAAGGGTTTCTCATGGCTTCAAAGTAGTGCGAACGGATTTCGCAACCATTCCCAGTATGGTCCGTTTTGGGACCCTCAAACTACCTGTCAAAATGGGATATCACCGTAATATCACCCCATAATTTTGGGGGTCAAACCCATTTTTAAGGGAAGTTTGAGGGTTCAGGTGGTTTAAGCATCACCCCATCCCCATCCTTTCCGTGGTTCCTCCAAAGACCCTAGTCCTGATGGGTCCCTAGGAGCCTCGCCTTGGGAGCTGCCCCGCAAGTCCAAATTAAGCCGTGAAGGCTACCTGCACCCTCAAAATTCCAACTGAAAAATGGGTTTGACCCCCAAAATTATGGTTGGTGATATCCCATTTTTATGGGTAGTTTGAGGGTCCAGGTACCTTTCATGCAGTTCCTCTGTGATTTCAACCAACATGACCAACCTGTTTTCAATCCGAAGACTGCTTGCCTTCAACCTGAAGACTGGTTGTCTCATGGTTCCGAACCGTGCATCTCCCCCCGCGCAAAAAACTAGGGTGGGTGAATCCGGGTTTGATTTTGGTGTCTTTTTGTAGGGGCACCTGTTTTTTGTTTGTTTTTGTTTTTTGCTGGGGGGGGGGGAAGGTTTCAAAGGGACTCCAACCGAAAAATTACCATAATAAATAAAAGTATGTCACACGCACGATTGACCAAACAGCCTCAAAAACGATTGCGAGTCTTTAAAAGGAAGGCTTGAGATCCAAACAAAAGACGCCTTGTGTTTCGCCTCGAGGTGTCAATGGATGCAGCATGTGCCAGATCTGCCTGGGGAGCTCAGATTCGCTTCGATCTTAATGTTCACCCAGGATCTAAGTATAACCCGTCCCATTGAGGTTGTTCCCTCCAAAAGTGGTCTGAATCCCCACTAAAAGGGGACACCCCCCGATCAAGATTAACCAGGGGTTCATGAATCCGGGGTTAACATTAAGCAACCCATTAAATTACTTAAAGATGCCGGGTAAGTGGTTAAAAAGCCTGCCTGAACCCTCGCCCCTTGAAGCAGGTTAGGGTGAAAAAAGCCGGTGGGGTTGGACAAATTGGCCCCCGTTGCTTTCTCTTTCTCTACGCTTTTGCCAGGGGTTGAAAGGGGACAGTTGCTGTAAAGACCCAAATCAAGAGAATGGGTTATAGGTAGGGTATACTTAACCGTTGATGTGCATATATGGCAATGTTGTGCAATTGTTCAGCCCTCATGTTGCTTACATCGTCACATCAAGTTGTATCTGGGTACTTAAACTCACTCACTTGGGTGTGATTTGGGCCACGAGGAATTTCAGGACCGCAAAAGGGGTTCCCTCCAAAACTGGACATGGGCTCAACAATCGACCTGTGGATTCTCAGTCCACCGATATGTTGTTTAAGACCGTAGTATACCGTGTTAAAGGTGTTTCATGATTCAAAATGGGCATACTGTCAAACTGAAGTGAAAGCAGGCATACTGTCAAACTGAAGTGAGAACAGGACAAACACGACATCGAGTCTTTTCTTGCTCCTTTGCCCAGTTTCCGGATTCGTCACTTACTTCCGCTGGAAGCAACATCTGAACTTTTTCTGGCCAATCCGCTCAGGAAGTACCCTCCACTCATGGAAGCTGACAGGGTCCTCACTTCCTGAGTTCATGGACTTTAGTCACTGTTTGGGGTGACCGGTTTATTTGCAGACAAAAGGTTTGGACTTGTTTGGGCCAGTCCCCTCAAAGCGAGCCTCACGAATTTCCGCGTCCCTGATTTGCAGGGAGGGAGGGCAAGCATAGAGCCATTGCTCGCGAGGCCGGCGGTGCCACACTTGAGCGGCAGCATGCTCTCGGAGCGAGGGCCTGAGTCCTGAGGAGACAAAGCAGGTCTCAAAATGCAGTGGCTGGGTTCTGATGGGGACTGCAAACGAGCAGGAAGTGGCTGATATTGACTCCCTGGAATCAACCCCCGTTATTTTTTTAGGGGGGTGCTTCTCCCTGGTTTTAGCGGGGAATCAGACCTTTTGGAGGGGCCCCCACCCCCCTATGAATAAACCGGGGTTGATGAATAAACCGGGGGTCAACATTGAACAGACGACCATTTACTCAAGTATGATCATTGACTCCAAGGCGTGAACCAGCAAAGCGACGAAACGACTAACGACATGAGTTTGAAGAGTTGGAACCAGCCCAAAGCTCACCCGTTCTGACTGGGTTTCTCGAACCTGTCGGCTGATCGAATCGCGGAGCCTCTTGACGGCTCTATGAGCTCTAAGCATCGATTCTTCGCTTCCGGCGGCTTTGAACACTTGAGGCATGGAGCTTCCGCTGGCTCGCTTTGGACGAAATCAAATGGGCGGTCCTGTTGGTTTTGTTATGTTCGCTTCGGACGCCTACGCCACGGTCGAACCAACGCCAACCCCTCCTTCCTTGGATTTTTTTTTTTTTTTTTTCCGAAGCGCCTTGAAACAGGGGTTTCTCAAAGAGACGGGGAGATGGGGCCACCCTGTTCGTTTCCATATCAGTCGCGCCACAACTTCGATCACTCGGGTTATTCCAGGGGGTTTTATACGCTGTGAATTCACTCCTTCAAATGAAACAGATAGAGGATTGATTCGGCAAGATCATTTCTGGGAAATTGTGTTGTTTGCACACCCCACGCATCTTTTGCCCTTCCATTGGAAAAGCTGTCCATTGGTGGACCTCAATAAGGTCGTTTCTTGGGGGCCTGCAATTGCGTGTGTCTGTTTTGTTGGGGACCCCCCTTTTGGGTGGTTTTCAAAGAGAAGCAGAATCGAAAGAAGCCATTTTAGGGCTCCATATCCTATTTTAAGACCCACCTGAACCCTGAGAACTCCTCTTAAAAGGGGCCGTTGTTTCAACATTTCGGTCTGAGAACCCCTTTTTGTTTTTGTTTCTTTCTCCTGGGTCGTTTCGGGGTCCACCCCCGGTTTTCCATGGCTCGTTTCGGGGCCCCGGCGCCCTTCTCCGCCCGAGTCCTTCGCTGGGCATCACGTCCCACAGCTGGGCGGAGCTCAAGGCGCCGATCTTTTTAGCGACGACCTCGACGTCTGGGGGACGTTGCTTTTCCAAGCTGAGCTTCCATTTGCTTGTTGCTTTTGAAGGGAATATATGTTTATGACGGTTGCTCTGTTGGGTTGCTTGTTGAATAGTATATTTTTTCCAGGGGTCTTAGCCAAATGGAAGTGAATGGACGACTTGGTTCATGTTCCCCTGCCGGTGTTGGCTGTTTTCAAAAGGTAAAGACCTGGGTGGATTGATTCCATTTGCTGAAACGAATATGTGTTTTTAATTTCCCCTGTTGGTTTGGAAGGGAATCGATTTCACTACGGGGAAAATGTTTTTTTCTTCCAGGGGTCTTAACCAAATGGAAGTGAATGGACGACTTGGTTCATGTTCCCCTGCCGGTGTTGGCTGTTTTAAAAGGTACAGACCTGGCTTCCATTTGCTATGGAAAATGTGTTTTTCATGTTCCCCCTGTTGGTTTGCCTGGGCTGGTTCAAAGGTAATCCTGAATCCTTACCTTGGGTTACGCAAGGAGTTGGTCCCCTTTGTACTGGCTTCCCTAGAGGGTTTAAGAGCGGATTCGCCAACCCGTCATTTTGATCAGCCCAGTTTTAGATGGAGTCTTATCGCAACTGGTATGTCCCACTTTTTCCAGGGGACCTATTTGCAACTAGGGTTGCGAGCTTCTTCTTTTTCTTCCGAGGAGTGGCGCTTTTCAAGTCATTTACATCAACTCGAAGAAAGAAGCGCTTCGCGCTTGAAGACTTCAGGTTGACCGGAGTCAATTAGGCGCCAAAACCCGTACCCTTGCTTTGGCTTGGCCATTTGACAGCAGGGTGCTGCGAGTTTCGCATGTTTCGCAGTACACGAAAAGTGCGGGGACTTGTGACCCCCGCGTTTTTTTTGGAGTTGGGGCCTCAGATCTTGGCCTATATTTTCAGACGAGTTAGGCAGACTGCACTTGGGCCAAGTTTTGGTCAGCCATTTTTGCAGCCAGTTTGCAGGGAAAGCCAAGTGCCGTTTCCGGCCTGGCTGAGCCTTTGGGGTGTCCAAGAAACAGCTGGTTCGGGGTTTCTCCCCCAAATCAGCCCAACTTCTGCCGAACCAAATCAGGGGGCCCAGGGTCGGTGTTTCACCGAAGCCACAGGTCGAAGGACTTCGATTCGCAAGAAACAAGTGGCCGGTGGACCCCCTACCGGGTGGATCTGGCCCCGGAAGAAGGGCATGGAGTAGACTCAATCCAGACAGGTGTGTCTTCAAAGCGTCACGAGCTCTCCAGCAGCTACGTCCACAACACAACTGCCGCATATTGTAGTTGGCTTCTTAGAACAAAGTTAGCAGGCGTTAGAACAAACAGGAGGTAGGTCTCCGGCTTGGGAGTTTCTACGGATCATTTCCTTCGTGGGTATTCCCTAAATCCTTGTACCAGATCGTAGCGGCTTTCCTTGTCACTACAGATTCGGGGTCGGATTTGGGATCCCACTCCTCATGTTGAACAGCGGCGACGCTGGGTCACATGAGCTGAACGAGGCTTCCTCCTCAATTTACCCCACTGTCGCCCTCTAATCATGTAGGAAATCAAAAAAGGAAGGTCGGTTTCGTGTGTTGCCTGGGTTTGGCCAACAAGAGTTCCCTCAGAGTAGGTTGTAATATCCTGGTTATAAGGAAACTGCCTCCAATCCTCCCGTAACCATTGTTGTACCGGAAATGTTTGTAAGGAAAACTAAAGGGACCGCCGTCCAACTCAGATCACCAATAGCCCTCAGTGGGGTCCTGCAGCTGCGTTCACCTGAAAAGATGCGGACGTTGTCAAACCATTGGTGCATTATTAATGGCGAGCTCACCTGGGGTAAGACGAGCTCAAAAGCGAAAGTTCCTTTCCGAACACGTCATGGCGTCTTCAGGTTGCTTAAGAACGGTTTTGGCGGCTGGGGACAAACCGAGACCGCCTGGAACACAACGCAAACGGCAAATCAAGTTTACAGAGAGCTGTTGCACAAAGAATCTGCTGCAGCGTTGCGGCCAACAAATGTCCCGCTGAGAGTGGTCAACCACGCCCGTCAAACCCTTGTAACCGTATCTAAGCCTGCCTTGTTACCAACTCATGGAAGCTGACGATGACAGGGTTTTGTGCAGACTGCTAAACTGCCTGACTGGGTTGTTTGATCAAAGTGTCACGCAGGGGACACCCACCCTTAGCCACTCCAAAAGGGGTATCCTAGAAAGAGACGGCTTGGGTCGTGATGTGTTTTTGGATGGCTGTCTAAGAAACCAGCAGCAGATTCAAAGAAGACCTCTTTGTGCAATTTGTCGCCTGACTTTAGAAAGTCACCTTTGGGGTCAACATTTGGGTGGCCTTGGCTGCTCTTCGGTCCGAATAGCCCCAATGCTTTTGCAGTTTCAATGGGTCGCCTTTTCCAGGGAACGCAATTGGAAATCCAAGTTGACGTCCCTTGCGACTGTCCCTGTTCGCTGGTTCCTTAGAGATCACCAAGGGGTACCCTGCCAATCGCTTTATGATTTTGGCGCCGAAGCAACCCAGTGCCCCCATCAACTCACTTCTCGAGTTCTTGGACCCTCAACTTTTTGGCTTGGACCATTTTAGTGGTAAACAAAAAGTTTGGTTACTTTTCTTGGCCATCTACTCAGCAAGTGAGTAAAACGGAAAGTGTCCTTTCAAGTTCCAACCAAACAACTAAACAAATGCAAACGGGCAACCAGCAGGAGTTTCACAGGTCTTCGTAGCAATTCCTGTTGGCTTCCCGCCCCAACAAAAAAAACAAGTATGGGCCAAACGGCAAATTCTGTACCAAGCTATAAGCCTAGGGTTCAACCCCCATTAAAAGAATGGCAAGGACCCAACTTGGATGATTGTGGTATGAACTCCCATTATATGAAAGCCTAACCATGGTTGTTCTCTGGTGGCCTGCCTGAACCCCAGAAATACTTTACTAAGTGTTGATCTTCACTAAGTGTTGAACTTCCACGGTGTTGGTTCAACTATGTTTGGTGTTGGTGTGTAACAACGTCCACTAAGTTTAAGACGACTATAAGACTTAAAACATCGCACGCTTATATGAAATCCCCGTTGGTCATATGAAAGCCTCACCATGGTTTTTCTCTGAACCCCAGACGTTGAACTTCACCGGGTGTTGAACTTCCACGGTGTTGGTTCAACTATGTTAGGTGTTGGTTTGTAGCAACCTCCACTAACCCAGAGGCTCCCGATGTTTTTGGGCCCTCAAACAGCCAGGTTTTGAGAACCCCAAACACCTCCGGGGTGTCTAATGGAGGGGTCGGGTCTTCCATTGAAAGCCCCAGGACTAAGTTTGACTGGGGTCATGATTTTGACGGTTTCTGGGAGTTATCAAAGTCAGAAAATGGGGTTGTTTCCCTTTAAGCCACCACTGAACGGGGGTGACTTTGATCATGACATAACGAGGCCAGTTCAAGAAACATCCCATGGTTATATGAATCCCCATGGGTTATATGAAACCTATACCACTATGATTCTTTTCGTGGCCTGCCTGAACCCCAGAAATACTTCACTATGTTCGGTGTTGGTTTGTAACAACCTCCACTAAGTTTAAGACGGCTATAAGACGGCTATAAGACTTAAAACTTCGCACGCTTATATGAAGTCCCCATTGGTCATATTATGAACGCCTCACCATGGTGTTTCTCTGAGTTATTGAGAACCTCCACTAAGTTTAAGACTTCAAACCTCCCCGAGGTGCTGAACCTCCACGGGCGCCAGCTGCGGCGCTTCGACGCCGATGCCTTCCAACGCCTCCACGGCGCGGATTTTGTGCTTCGCTCGGACGCGATTCGAAAACGGCCGATGCCCAGGGGACGGCTCGGAAGAAGCCAGCCATCCCGCTCAACTTAGCTTTTAACCCGTTTTTTGGTTGGTTTAGTGGGGATGTCCGTATTGAACAAGTTGAAATTACTTAGCTTTTTAGAGGTCCATTTAACAGTTGAACTTAGCGTTTTAGCTGTTTTCGGTTGGTTCAGTGGGGATGTCCATTTAACAAGCTAAGCTTACTTAGCTTTTTAGCTGTTTTCGGTTGGTTTAGTGGGGATGTCCGTTTAACAAGTTGAGCTTAGCCTTTTAGCTGTTTTGGGTTGGTTTAGTGGGGATGTCTGTATTTAACAAGTTGAGCTTACTTAGCTTTTTAGCTGTTTTCGGTTGGTTTACTTAGCTTTTTAGCTGTTTTCGCTTGGTTTAGTGGGGATGTCTGTATTTAACAAGTTGAGCTTACTTAGCTTTTTAGCTGTTTTCGGTTGGTTTACTTAGCTTTTTAGCTGTTTTCGCTTGGTTTAGTGGGGATGTCTGTATTTAACAAGTTGAGCTTACTTAGCTTTTTAGCTGTTTTCGGTTGGTTTAGTGGGGATGTCCATTCAACAAGTTGAGCTTACTTACTTATGTTTTTAGCTGTTTTCGGTTGGTTTAGTGGGGATGTCAGTTTAACAAGTTGAGCTTACTGCGCTTTTTAGCTGTTTTGGGTGTATTTAGTGGGGATGTCCAGTTAGCAAGTTGGACTTACTTAGCTTTTCAGCTGTTTTCGGTTGGTTTAGTGGGGATGTCCATTTAACAAGTTGAGCTTACTTGGCTTTTTAGCTGTTTTCGGTTGGTTTGGTGGGGACGTCCGCTTAACAAGTTGAGCTTACTTAGCTTTTTAGCTGTTTTCGGTTGGTTTAGTGGGGAAGTCCATTTAGCAAGTTGAGCTTACTTAGCTCTTTAGCTGTTTTCGGTTGGTTCAGTGGGGATGTCCATTCAACAAGTTGAGCTTACTTAGCTTTTTAGCTGTTTTCGGTTGGTTCAGTGGGGATGTCCATTTAACAAGTTGAGCTTACTTAGTTTTCGGTTGGTTTAGTGGGGATGTCCATTTAGCAAGTTGGACTTAGATAGCTTTTTAGCTGTTTTCGGTTGGCTTAGTGGGGATGTCCGTTTAACAAGTTGAGCTTACTTAGCTGTTTAGCTGTTTTCGGTTGGTTTGGTGGGGATGTCCGCTTAACAAGTTGAGCTTACTTAGCTTTTTAGCTGTTTTCGGTTGGTTTGGTGGGGATGTCCATTTAACAAGTTCAGCTTACTTAGCTTTTTAGCTGTTTTCGGTTGGTTTAGTGGGGATGTCCATTTAACAAGTTGAGCTTACTTAGCTTTTTAGCTGTTTTCGGTTGGTTTAGTGGGGATGTCCGTTTAACAAGTTGAGCTTACTTAGCCTTTTAGCTGTTTTCGGTTGGCTTAGTGGGGATGTCCGTTTAACACGTTGAGCTTATTTAGCCTTTTAGCTGTTTTCGGTTGGTTTAGTGGGGATGTCCAGTTAACAAGTTGAGCTTACTTAGCTTTTTAGCTGCTTTCGGTTGGTTTAGTGGGGATGTGCATGTAGCAAGTTGAGCTTACTTAGTTTTTTAGCTGTTTTTGGTTGGTTTAGTGGGGATGTCCGTTTAACAAGTTGAGCTTACTTAGCCTTTTAGCTGTTTTCGGTTGGCTTGGTGGGGATGTGCATGTAACAAGTTGAGCTTCTTAGTTGTTTAGCTGTTTTCGGTTGGTTTAGTGGGGATGTCCGTTTAACAAGTTGAGCTTACTTAGCTTTTTAGCTGTTTTCGGTTGGTTTAGTGGGGAAGTCCATTTAGCAAGTTCAGCTTACTTAGCTCTTTAGCTGTTTTCGGTTGGTTTAGTGGGGATGTCCATTTAACAAGTTGAGCTTACTTAGCTTTTTAGCTGTTTTCGGTTGGTTTAGTGGGGATGTCCGTTTACCAAATTGAACTTCCTTAGTTTTTTAGCTGTTTTCGGTTGGTTTAGCAAGTTGGACTTACTTAGCTTGTTAGTTGTTTTCGGTTGGCTTAGTGGGGATATCCGTTTAAACAAGTTGAGCTTACTTAGCTTTTTAGCTGTTTTCGGTTGGTTTAGTGGGGATGTCCATTCAACAAGTTGAGCTTACTTAGCTTTTTAGCTGTTTTCGGTTGGTTTAGTGGGGATGTCCATTTAGCAAGTTCAGCTTACTTAGCTCTTTAGCTGTTTTCGGTCGGTTCAGTGGGGATGTCCATTTAATAAGTTGAGCTTACTTAGCTTTTTGGCTGTTTTCGGTTGGCTTAGTGGGGATGTCCATTCAACAAGTTGAGCTTACTTACTTATGTTTTTAGCTGTTTTCGGTTGGTTTAGTGGGGATGTCGATTTAACAAGTTGAACTTAGTTTTTTAGCTGTTTTCGGTTGGTTCAGTGGGGATGTCCATTGAACAAGTTGAGCTTACTTAGCTTTTTAGCTGTTTTCGGTTGGTTTAGTGGGCATGTCCTTTTAACAAGTTGAGCTTACTGCGCTTTTTAGCTGTTCTGGGTGTATTTAGTGGGGATGCCCGTTTAACAAGTTGAGCTTACTTAGCTTTTTAGCTGTTTTTGGTTGGTTTAGTGGGGATGTCCATTCAACAAGTTGAGCTTAGCTTTTTAGCTGTTTTTGGTTGGTTTAGTGGGGATGTCCTTTTAACAAGTTGAGCTTACTTCCTTCGCTTTTTTGCTGTTTTCGGTTGGTTTAGTGTGGATGTCCTTTTAACAAGTTGAGCTTACTTACCTAGCTTTTTAGCTGTTTTCGGTTGGTTTAGTGGGGATGTCCATTCAACAAGTTGAGCTTACTTATGTTTTTAGCTGTTTTCGGTTGGTTTAGTGGGGATGTCCATTTAACAAGTTGAGCTTACTTAGCTTTTTAGCTGTTTTCGGTTGGTTTAGTGAGGATGTCCGTTTAACAAGTTGAGCTTACTTAGCTTTTTAGCTGTTTTCGGTTGGTTTAGTGGGGATGTCCATTTAACAGGTTGAGCTTACTTAGCTTTTTAGCTGTTTTCGGTTGGTTTGGTGGGGATGTCCATTTAACAAGTTGAGCTTACTTAGCTTTTTAGCTGTTTTCGGTTGGTTTAGTGGGGATGTCCATTTAACAAGTTGAGCTTACTTAGCTTTTTAGCTGTTTTCGGTTGGTTCAGTGGGGATGTCCGTATTTATCCCCAGTTGAACTTTTAGCGGGGGGCCGGGCGGCCCAGGGTTCCAGGCAAAAAGCACGACGGTCGCTTTGGACCTTCGGCGGTCAAATATTTTCACCAGGGCAACCCATTTACCAGGGCAACCCATTTTGGGGTTACCCTATTTTTG